AAAAAAAGCCAGGCTCTAGGTGTCCAATTATAAACTATGAGCAAAGTTTTATCAAGTCTAAAATGAGATTAAAGATCTTAGATACAGAATTAAAAAGGGACTAGGACAGCTAATTATAAAGATACGTTCTGTTCAGTGCCTTTGAGGAAATTGTATTCTGTGTTGTAATGCAGACAATGTAAATTTTCTTTACTCCTCACCCACTTTTGTGATGCATTTCACTTTCTGCATTAAATCCCAGTGGTGCTGCAAAACCATCGCTAGCTTCATCCTAGGTTTGCATGAGATGTCATATTGCTTCCCACTAATATCTTTTATACTCAATTATAGAATATTGTACAGTTTTGTCTAATGCATTTCTTACCACATGCTACAAATGAACTGATTATAGTTCCTTTAAACTTTACCCTCAAGCTCTCCTCTCGGAAGCTTAAATAGTTTGCTTGTGGGTCAGCTGGTTGGCATCGGAGAGCCAGTCTTTCCTCAATAATGTGGTTATTGCTAGATACCTGTATGGACAAGTTACAGACAAAATGAACTCTTGGAGAGGAAATAAGGAGGCTTATCCTTTTAACTGTGTCTTCAGTGAGTATCAAGGTTTCCTTTTTGAAAAAGTGTAGAAGTGGTTGCTGTTGTCCTAGATGAGTGCAGAAAGCATAGTAAAAAGGGTAGACTATAACCAAAGTAGTGTTACTGCAGCTTTTTTAGGGCTGTACTGAGGAGCTTGTATCTTTGAACTGGTATTTAAGTGGGAGCCATAGCTGTGTAGGGAAGAGTAGGGATGACATACTGCAGCTTTCACTGAATTGGAGAACATAATGAACACTGACCTGGCCAAGATAGCAGACTACTGTAGCAGTTGGCATCTCCAACCAAATGTGACCAAGACAGTGTTAGGCGAGTTACACAACACAAGCAACCTTAACAGAAAACAGCAAACTGATCTGCCTTGGTGTCACACTGGACTGCTCTGATTTACTGTGACCATCTAAAAAAGACTGGTGCCAAAATCAGGACTAGAAATAATTTAATCAGTAAATTAGCCAGTTCAACTTGGAGCATAGCTCTGGAACTGTGCTATTCCTCAGTGAAATACTGTGCCCCTGGGTGGAGTCATTTACCTCTCACTAAATTGGTCGATGTTGAATTGGACTCGACCATGCGCATCGTCACAGGCACCCTGTAGCCGCTCCTATTCCATGGCTACCAGTTCTGAGCAACTAGCTCCTTCAAACCTTCGTTGCAGAGAGTTTACAGCTGGACTGGTGGAAAAGCTACATGCCAATCCAGTTCTACTGTACATGGACATCTGCAGTCACCCTACTCCACAATTTACATTGAGACATCCAGTGTGGGCTCTAATGCCAGATTGGAATCTGTTAGCAGTAGTCCTATGGCACAATGATTGGTCCGCTAAAGACATTTGGAATGGTTTCCTTGTCGCTGATCCAACCGTTCGACCATCGGGATTTGACCTGCCACATCAGCTGTGGCCTCTGCTGAACACTGGCCAAGGAATATGTGCAGCCCTTCTCTACACGAGGTCTGTGCAATGACCCACTTTGTCAATGGCACATGTTGTTGTCAATGAGTGTCAATTACCCAGACTTCAGTGTGGCTTAAGGCCTTTCATTCTGGTGATGAAGCTGCTGTCAGGTGGCTCCACAAGCACTGCAAACACTAGAAGAACTGCAGCTGTTGCTTCGTCCTTTGGCTCAGCCCCCTCTCCTGCTGGGGTGAAAAGTATTGGAGGAGGCAACCTCCCCGCTCCCCTTCTCTCCCCCTCCAGGGCACTTGAGGAGCCCAAGAATAGGGGGCTATAGACCCCACACACAAGGAAAAGTATGGGACTCACCACAATAGCATTGGCCATTTGCCACCTACTGCATTAAAAATTAAACTGACTCACTCAGAGACTCTAACACATAGCTAAAACAAGCCCTAACTTTCTTCCCAATTTCATCTGTACACTTCCAAGTTGTTTTCTTTTAACTTCATGGATTGAAAGTACTTTCTTCTTCCTTGCCCACAAGTCCCACCCTTCTGCTTGCCCGTGGTGGTGATCTTTCCTATATTTCCAAATTATCCTTTCTATTAATCTAGTCTGCCGCTGCTGCATCTTTTGTTCTGATCATCCTGGGGCTTATATACCTCCCATCTATCACTCTCCTGCTGCCCTCTGACCCTGCTGTATCACATTCTCTCCCCCCCCCCCCCGCTGAACACCATAGGGTTGGACTAGTTAGGACAAGAGGCAGTGCTGTCAAGACAGGCCGTCAGTGTTGCTGTGTTGGCTACCGGCCCTATGCTGTACCTGGAAGTGGAAGGGTTGTAGGGATAGGAACCATCTAGGCACTCTTGCATTCTTCTCCTTATTTCTGTGCATCCACTGGAGCAGAGTGTGGTCTGTCACAAGGGTGAACTGCCGCTCCAGTATCTAGTATCGGAGAGTCTCCATGGCCCATTTAACCGCCAGACATTCCTTTTCAATGACAGCATACTGTTGCTCCCTGGGGAGGAGTTTCTGGCTAAGGTACAAGATTGAGTGTTCCTCCTCCCCCACCATCTGCAAGAGAATGGTCCCTAGCCCTACCTCCAAGGCATCCAGCTGTAGGCTGAATTCCTACACTGAGCACTGGATTACTGCAAAAGGCTGTCCTTAAGTCTGTAATGCTACCCTACTATCCCTAAAAATGCTCAACTTGCTTTTTGCAGAGCAGTTGGGGCCACCTCTGAATTGCCTCTACTTTGTTCCAGTGGGGTTTCACTGAGCCCCTTCCTACTACGTACCCGAGGTATCTGGCCTCAGCTAGCCCTACCATGCACTTAGGAGGGTTGGCGATGAGGCTGGCCTATCTAAGAGCATCGAGTACCCCTTCTACTTTCTCCCCTTGTATTTGCACTACTTGGAACAATAGATCACCTCTGACCATACAGTATGGCTCTGGGCCTTTGGTTTTCCTCTGTACAGGCATGCCATTTACCTCCACTACCTCCTCCCTCGTGTTTGCATATAGTGAATCATAGGCTTGATCCTGCCTGAAATTCTCACAGGCGGGGTTGATCTGGCCTAATTTTGTGGGGTCAGTTTCAACTCTGCTCCTGGTGCTGGGGACTGCCTCCCGGTCCTCAGTGGTCCAAGCTGTCTCCTGGCCTCCCAGACAGGTTTGCCTACCAACCAAGGTGACTTTCTGGTTCCCTGCCAAAATCCTGGTTCCTAACCTTTTATCTGCCTTCCTTTCCCGCCTAGATTTCCAGGGCTTTGTGGGGGGTGAAAATAATTCTGGGACAAGTCCAGTGAAAATTGGTCAGGGCTATCTGGGGGTGCCTCAATTTCAGTTTGAGGGTTGCTACCCTCCCCAAGTTCTATGGGGGTGGGAGTAGGTTCTTGAACCCTGGGAAGTCCCTACCAATTAAGATGGGGTAGGGGAGGCTGGGGACCACCCCTGCAATGACTCTGATAGTATTCCCCTGGATCTCAATCCATACTGGGACTGGGGGGTAGAAATTTGTGGTTCAATGGACACACGTTACTCCTGTGATTTTTGGCCCAGGTCAGTTGGTCTTGCCCTACTAACTTCCCCGAGACCAGTGTGACAGCACTCCCAGTATCCACCAAAGCTGTGTGATACAATGCCATTCATTTTTACCAGCCTGGTATACGCATGTGGGGTCGTTGCAACCCCCACCAGGCCAATTAAGCTACATGGCTCCCCATGATCCCCTAGAGTGCACTGCATGGACTCCTCCCTTTTGGGGCACTTGGCTGCTATGTGCTCCAGTTTCCCACGCTCATACCTTACTCCAGTTGTCGCCCTTTGCTTTGGGCTACTCAGCCTGCCCCAGCCCTCTTCCCCCCCCAGGACCTTTCAGGGCCTCAGGGCTTTCCTAGGCACCCTTCTTTCCACGGTTCTGGGGCCTCGGGGTCGGGACCAACTTCCTGGGCTGCTGTGTCTCCTCTCTTGGGATCTGGAACAGTTCATGGGCTGCCAGCTGTCT